TCATTTTTGCAGCTTTGTACCTTCACCATGAGTTATCCCTTTCAATACATGTATATGGACAACCTAAAAAAAAAATTGTAAAAACATTTATCAATCAATTATAATTGTGGTCATGACCTGTATGCATCATATATTACGGATATTTATCATACAATGTACATATATAATTAAGAAGCTTATTTTATTTACGTAAAGGCTGCACAACCTTAGCCATGCTTAATGTTTATATGGATGTTTTGTGTTGCATGTCCATCCAAATCAGAACATGACAAATTTAAGTTGAATGTGCTGGACATTGTGTAGTAATCATTTCCTTGATTGTGAAGGCACACAATGCAATTGAATATTGAATATATTTCCACCTCCCCCTTTTTAGAACACCAAATGGTCATCCAAAAGTGTGAACTAACGGAGCCCATGAATGAAACTAAAGGGGGTGTATAACTTTTTTTTAAATTTTAATTAAAAATATTCATGATCCAAAACAAGTAAAATGTAAAATCTCATGAAAATTACCTGTATCTTCTGTCTGTCCTACATCAGCACATCGTCTCATCGTAAATTCTTGGTTCAACAGCTAATGTCATGCCTAAATGTTCTGCCGTTTATATGTCTATTTCTTTATTTATCGAAGTTTGTTGAGTATAAATAATCATTAACATGATTAATGTAACCACAGCTGGACAGGATACATACTTGTACAACATTTTTAGTTTCAAATTTGAACCCATTCCATGTATTAATAATAACGACGATCTGATTGGTCGATCGGAAATCCCGGTAATTGAGTTATTCAATGAAATCAGCGGTTATATTTATAGTCTGGTAGAAAAAAATGGCAGCCTCCTTGGATGTAAACATGTGTGTTGAAAAACAACATTATAGACTACAGTTTCACGAATTTTCTGTTCAAATTATGCGAAAACACTTGACATAAGGCGTACAATTGATTGGACTACATTATATGTGAAACGTTTCTATAGATTAAGTTGTACTGTAGTTTTGTCATCTTCGACGGCAACTATTTTACATAAATTCAACACTAGGCTTTCTAAGAAGAAACTTGAAATACTGCCCACAAGAATGTAAAAAAACAGCTTACATCTCGCTCGTCAGATCAACGATGGAATATGGAGCCATAGTATGGGACCCCTACACGGTAACTTACATAAATAAGCTTGAAAGGATACAACGTCAAGCGGCAAGATTTATCACCAGAGATTACAAGTCAAGAGAGGACGGATGTGTCTCCAAAATGCTTGCCCAACTGGAACTGCAAGATCTCCAGACAAGACGAATAAGCCAGAAGTTAATATTTATGTACAAAGTGGTTGAGGGACTGGTTCCCGCTATTGAACCAGACGAATTCCTCAAAAAAGCACGTCCGAAGAGAACCACAACTGGCAAGAAATTCGAAGAATACCACGCAACAAATATTGTGGAAAAGCAAGTAAAAAATCACTCTTAAGTGTTTTGACATTCCACCAAGCAAAACACCACAATATTCAAACTCATTCTTTGTAAAGACAGTGATCGCATGGAATCAGCTAGATGACACTGTAGTGTGCTCATCAAGCGTAGAGAGCTTCAAATCTGCTCTCACGCCCCGTCAATAAATCGGCGGCGCTCTCTCAAACCGTTGTATTAAAGCCAGTATTGGTATCAACAACGTATTCATACAGATACAGATATGACTCGCGTTCAGGACATGAAAATGATGAAAAATTTATCAAACTGACAAAGTTAAGATACCGAAACAGTTTATAGAACAATGTGGAAAATGAAAGCCGTTCACTTTATTTTTCTCAAAAGAACAGTAGACCAGTAACAGTAAATGAACATGAAGAAGTCAAAGGAGAAACAATTATATTATTGTATACATGTAGACTGTAGTGCAGGGCAGTTGCCAGTACGGTCACTTGAAGAAAAAACACGGAGTTACCCTAACAATTGGTACAGACTGAAGATAATTTCTGCAACAGATCTGTTTAAAAACGGCCCTTTTAAGGGCAATGCACATTTTTCAAAAAGAATCTTAATTGTTTTTGTCATTTTTGTCGAGCCTGCGACTTTTGTCGCAGAAAGCTTGACATAGGGATAGTGATCCGGCGGCGGCGGCGGCGTTAGCTAACTTCTTAAAAGCTTTATATTTTAGAAGGTAGAAGATCTGGATGCTTCATACTTTGTATATGGATGCCTCATGTTACGAAGTTTCCGTCAGTCACATGTCCAATGTCCTTGACCTCATTTTCATGGTTCAGTGACTACTTGAAAAAAAAGTTAAGATTTTTTTTTTTGTAAATTAAGTAATAGGATAACTATATTTGGTATGTGCGTACCTTGCAAGGTTCTCATGCCCGTCAGACAGTTTTCACTTGACCTCGACCTCATTTCATGGATCAGTGAACAAGGTTAAGTTTTGGTGGTCAAGTCCATATCTCAGATACTATAAGCAATAGGTCTAGTATATTCGGTGTATGGAAGGACTGTTAGGTGTACATGTCCAACTGGCAGGTGTCATCTGACCTTGACCTCATTTTCATGGTTCAGTGGTTATAGTTAAGTTTTTGTGTTTTGGTCTGTTTTTCTTATACTGTATGCAATAGGTCTACTATATTTGGTGTATGGAATGATTGTAAGGTGTACATGTCTAGCTGGCAGGTGTCATCGTGCCTTGACCTCATTTTCATGGTTCAGTGGTCAAAGGTAAGTTTTTGAGTTTTGGTCTTTTTTTCTTATACTGTATGCAATAGGTCTACTATATTTGGTGTATGGAATGATTGTAAGGCGTACATGTCTAGCTGGCAGGTGTCATCTGGCCTTGACCTCATTTTCATGGTTCAGTGGTCAAAGTTAAGTTTTTGAGTTTTGGTCTTTTTTTCTAATACTATATGCAATAGTTCAACTATATTTGGTGTATGGAAATATTTTATGATCTATATGTCATTCATGCAGGTTTTATTTGACCTTGACCTCATTTTCAAGGTTCATTACTCAGTGTTAAGTTTTTGTGTTTTGGTCTGTTTTTCTTAAACTATAAGCAATAGGTCAACTATATTTGTTGTATGGAAGAATTGTTAGCTGTAAATGCCTGCCTAGCATGGTTCATCTGACCTTGACCTTATTTTCATGGTTCATTGGTCAATGTTTAGTTTACTTGGTTAATGTTAAGTTTATGTGACAGTTGTAATAAAGCTTTATATTTAGGACTATCAACATAATGTCAATGATTAGTAAAGAAGGCGAGACATTTCAGCGTGTGCACTCTTGTTGTATTATAATATTTAATTTCTTATCAGTCCAGCAAATTATATATTTACAAATTAAATCCATTATATAATAATCATGCACTTATTTGAAAAATTTGAATTAGAAGTGAGCCTTTAAATATCTTAAGTCCAAAATCCCACTGGAAGTATATTTGCATTAAATCAAAAATCCACTGAAATATAAACAATAATATTCCACTGGAAATTAATTGGAAAATCTTTGGAAGTTTCATTAGAAATTTCACTGATTTTCCATTGGAATTACAGTGTGAAAAATATTCCAGATGTTTTGGATGAAACTCTAATGGGATTCCATCAGAATATTTTTTTCCACTGAATACCAGTGTAATTTCACTGGAAATCCAGTGGAATCCTATAGACATTTTCAGTAGGGCAATGTTAAGTTTTCTTCTTGGATATTTCAAGCAATAGGTCAACTATATTTGGTGTATGGAATGATTGTAAGGTATATGTCTGTCTTGCAGGTATCATCTGACTTTGACCTCATTTTCATGGTTCATTGGTCAATATTAAGTTTTTATGGTTAAGTTTGTTTCTTAGAAACTATAAGCAATATGTCAACTGTATGTAATACATAGATTGCCTGTAAGGTGTACTTGTCTGTCTTTGATGGTTCATCTGACCTTGACCTCATTTTCATCATTCACTGGTCAATGCTACGTTTTCCTCGTTAAGTTTATTTCTTAGAAACTATAAGCAATAGGTCAGTTATATTTCGTGTATGGAATGATTGTGAGGTGTACATGTACATGATGTATTTCTTGTTTGGTTTATCTGACCTTGACCTCATTTTCTTTTATTATCGTAAGTTTATGTGATACTTGTAGTAAAGTTTTATATTTAGGAGTATCAACATTAAATCAATTTTCAGTAAATGAGGCAAGACATTTCAGTGTGTGTACTCTTGTTTTTATAGGAGTTATGCCTGTGTGAACTTAGAATGTTGGCCTAAATATACTACTGTAAGAGTTTATCATCGCAACTCCTCTGAAACCATACAACAGAATTTCATGAAACTTTGTAGATAGTTAGGACATACTATGTATATGTGCATATGCACAGGAAATTTTTATCAGTTGATTTTTGTAGGAGTTATGAGTTTTAGGAATCGGGTGAGATTTTGTTTGCCCAGTGACAATTTTGGGGTGTGGGGTATGTGAGCGTGCTCACAAAGGTTCTTTGATTCGAGACAATTGTGCACAGACTCTGGCATCATAGCGAGTTGATTCTTCAAGTATATTTTCATAGCTTCTTTCTGTATTTCTATGTGGGTATTAAAGCGACAACCGAAGCACATTTCGTACTACAAATGTACAAACGATCAATGCTTTTACAACACTGTAAAATGACAAAAGAAGGATTCAATTTTGATAATGAGATGTTTATGCTACAATCATGATATACAGTTCATATCAAGCTTTTCATTAGTTTTCCTATGCATTGTTCTGATGTTCTCAAAGGAAGCACATGCAGTCATGAAAAAATGAATTTTATTGGTAAATAAATAAAATATAATTTTGGAATGTATCATGACTGTTGTCTGTCAATCAAAACTATAATAACATACATGGTATGCAATTGAATATTAAATATTAACATACAGTGAAAACAGGCACACAAAAAAGTTATATTTGTATACTTAATTAAAGAGAGTAAAGTTATGATCTTCTACTTTATAGAAAAACTCTTTATGAAAAAATATTGTTGCAGGTGATATGGTTCCAACTGAAATAAAATTAATGGCTGACAAAAGATCTATTGATTTGTACCTCAAATTACTTGAGTCAGGCTCTGAGAAAAAGAAAGACATACGTTTAGTAGTAGTTGGAAAAAAGGGTGCAGGAAAGACATCATTGATTAAAAGATTGTTCTCTGAAGAGAATACAGATGTAACTAGTACAAATGGAATAGAAATCCACACAATAAAATGCAAAGCAATGTCTGATGATGGCATATGGAATAAATTAGATGGTATGATGCATAAGCTTAAACACAAATCTTTCTCTATTCTTAAGCAATGTTAAGAAAGTATTTATAATGTTTTTGTTTTCTAGTTTACATAACTTATTATTCAGCAATATTATTTGATTTTTTAGGGGCTATCTATCAATTTCCAGTTTTCAAAGCATAGGTCTTACCAGATCCAATTCAAGGATACATTTCAATTAATCCAGGTCAAGAATTTTCATAAATAGTTCATCCAGTCAGAAACTATGTGAAGAGATATTTATGGTACAAGTGCAGATCTGGTACATTATAGAAATGGTACCATTAATGTTATAGGCTTTTAAACAGTATCAGAAAAGATGAACAAAATAACTAAAGCTTGATTTGATTTTGTCAAAATATGACCCCAAAAGTTCATTGTTGCATTATTGTTACAACCACATTTGCATCCATATGCATGCGACACATGGTTTGACCTCAGTCAAGATTTTGATTGTGCATGTGCTTATCATGTTCAGTTACTTCATCCCCTTTAACCTGTAACACCTGCCTGATTTAAATTTTAATTAGAAAGATGACGTTGATTTTATCGTTGATATGATATCACACAGAAAAGAGAAATATCATTATAACACTATTTCATGTGTTTTTTATATTTATCTATTTAAATTGCCTTTTTGTCACATGCCTTCTTTAAATAGAGCTTATGTTGACGGATAATTAGAAGTTTTCAAGTCGTAAAATTGTTGATACTTCATGAAAATTGTTCGCCTTTTCTATTGTTTTCTGTGGACTTTTTGTACTACTGATATACTTTTAAATATGGTATATACGCATATAAATCAATTCTGAAAGTTCCAAAATCAATACAGTTTATGTGGATTTGGTAGCTAATGCTGTTTTAACATGTGAAGACATGGATACAAAATGTGTCATGATTGCTCATGAGACAGCTTTCCACCAAAGACCAAAGGATGAGGGTGAAAACAATTACAACTCACTGTTTGCCTTCAAAATTATATATTAACCACTCTGTCTCATAGTGATTAAAACAGTTTTATTTTCTAAGGTAATATAATGATTCTTAATGCATGCTTTTTTTATAATTTTGAGGAATATTGATATTATCATCAATAGTAGTTTGAAACTTTATTTAGCAAAATATTGATAGTATTAAGGTATGTGTAGAATATGCATCAAGTTTTGTGGTTTTCATCAAATCTGTTATATCAATATTACAACCAACTAAAGAAGCTCCCTTTTCAATTGTCATAACTGTACATGTAAAAATAAAATTGAGAATGGAAATGGGGAATGTGTCAAAGAGACAACAGCCCGACCATAGAGCAGACAACAGCCGAAGGCCACCAATGGGTCTTCAATGCAGCGAGAAACTCCCGTACCCGAAGGCGTCCCTCAACTGGCCCCTAAACAAATATGTGTATTTATACTGGATAATTAATGGTTGAACAAATAATTGGATGGCAAAGTTTACTGTGTTACTGCTAATTGCTGATTTTATGATGTGATCTTACTTAACATTTATCACATTTCTTTAATATTATTGTAATTTTATATAAATAATAGGAACCAATGAAGAAAATGAAATTCATGCAAGACTTTTGAAACAATACAAAGGAACAATCGAAGCATCAGTAGAAGAAGGAACACATAAAGCTGTGAAGGAAAACACACCATCATCAAGTTTTGATGAATCAGAGGAATCAGAGACAGTAACCCAGCAGCCTAAAAAAAGGAAACTTCAAGTAACCACTGAATCTCAAGTTGAACCTCCAGTAACCTTGCAACAACGAAATCAAGCATTAGAACAGGCAAAAATGGAGATTGAAGCCATGCTTAAATATACTGTTGATTTACATGACAGAGAGGAGTATGCCACATTATTATTGTGGGATTTTGCAGGAGATGAAGAATTTTACCACACACATCAAACTTTTTTATCACAAGATGCAATTTATCTTGTCGTAACAAAACTCAATGAGGCTGACGACAAAAAAGCAAAAGGTAATACATCATATAGATCAATAAGCAGGAATGAAAATAATAGTTTTATTTTATTTTTATGCCCCACCTAGGGGCATTATGTTTTTTTGGTCTTTGAGTCCGTTCGTCCATCGGTCCGTCCGTCAGTCCGTCCGTCAGTCTGTCCTGCTTCAGTTAAAGTTTTTGGCCAAGTTAGTTTTTGATGAAGTTGAAGTCCAATCAACTTGAACAACACATGTTCCCTATGATCTGATCTTTATAATTTTAATGCCAAATTAGAGTTTTGACCCCAATTTCACGGTACACTGAACATAGAAAATGATAGTGATGTGGGGCATCCGTGTACTATGGACACATTCTTGTTTCTTTATAGCTTAGAACACACATTATTGTCAAGAATTATGTATGACCAAAAACAAAAGATGTCTAACAATCATCCAGTGAAATAATAGATCTTATTTACCGCTGCCTGTGGAATGTTAGTATAATAAGCTCAGTAATCAGTGCTTCGGTAGTGACATCATTTATCACATTACTAGCTACAAATCTCCTCCAATAAATTAAGAAGTTATTAAGAAACTAAAGTTTTAACTCCCTCATGCACATTTGAACATAAGCGGATATTGCTACTCTTTCTGGTTGCGTGTACATTTCTTCTTTATGCAATGGATGTATATGTGTTGTTTCAAATAAACTGTCATTTTGTAGTTTTTGATGAAAAGCATATATCTACCAAGGTCTTTTTGTTTTGTGCAATACTTTGCAATTCCAACCAGACTCAAAATTAACTTGCTATTGAGGTTTAAACTAGCAACAACATATTGCATATTTAGATAGAAAGTTATATGCTCTGGCAGGCAATGAAAAAACCTTCGGTAAAATATAGTTAATTTTTTTAAAAAGGTACGATAATGATTTCTTTCAATATAACCATTTAATGTAATTCATGACAATTTATTATGTTTCCATAGCATAATTAATATTTTGCTAAGATATTTCTGACTAAAAACTGACTCATAATTATAACAAGCATTCTTTTAGTATTAATTAACCAATACAATGTCCCAGACAGAAAGTTACAAGCAAAAAGATGGAAGATACCAATCATAATTAGTGGAAGACAAACTAACAATGCCTTGGCTAAAAAAAAAGCCGGCGAAAAGACACAACAACAGTCTACAAAACACTGCATAGAAAACTACAGACTGAACAACATTAAAAACAAGGGTTGGCATCATGTGCTCTTAAAGGGTAGGCAGATCCATGTCCACAGGTGGCACCAATCGTGTTGCCCATTTAAGTACAAATTCAGTAATAAATTTGATTTGGTGATGTAAAATTCGTGGAGAACAGTTTAAGTGAAGACTGAGATTGAGATGTTAAAAAATTGTTCCCTACATTCTCTTGTGCGTGTTCCTAGTCTTAAACTTTATCAGTAGTTGTTGTATAATACAGCTTATTAATGTTTTTTCTCAATTTGATATTTATGTGTTAAGGGCAGATCTATAAAGTGTAATTTGTACTTTTCCTTTGATGTATAGTCTCTGAAAATGGCTCACCTTACTATCCCGATCTGAGTTTTCATTAATTAGCTTGAATGTTAATTTGACTAGTGTTGTTCCAATGAGTCTTCATTTCTGTTTCTTGAGAAGAATTTGTTCAACCTATTCAGTCACTATCAAGTGTTAAAATTCATATTTAGACGCAACACATAAGTGACATAAATAGTAACCAAAAAGGTGCCACCATTACACGAGAGAAGCTAGAACAAAAAATAAACATGCATTCCATTTTTTCAGTGGGACTGTCATTTAAAATTAAGATTATGTGGTTTGATTGACAATGTATAGACAGCTATGCATAGACCAAAGAACAAATATGTGAACACATTACAAGTTACTGTATGCCTTTCAATTGATCATATTTCTGGTCCAAGTTGAAAAATAAATGACATGCAAAAACTACAAAAACTGAAATTAAATAAACCAAAATTGAGTTACATTTAATTAAATGTTTGAAATACGTATGAGGTCGACAGGAAGTGAGCTTTATATGCTATATTATACCCCTCCTATTAACCGCAAATTAAAAAAAATATAGCATTTCTAACTCCTTTACATAGTATCAATACTCCAATAAGTAGTTGGTTTTTATTAAACATGCTGTATAATAACCCCGGGGTCAATTTTTCATATGGTATTTTGACCCCTGGTTCACTTTTCAAAGGGGTTCAAAATACAATGTGACGTGGGTCTTGGTTATTCCATGAAATTCTATTCATTAAGAGTTTACATTGTAGGAAAGAATTTATCTCTCTTATTTACCTATTATCTGCTGATTGTAAATTTAACTTTTCATCATACTATAAATGAGGTGACTGTACAAAAGGGATCTGACAACGACATGGCAAAAACGACCAAAGGACAAAACAAAACATAGAACTAAAGACCAAGCAACATGATCTCCACTAAAACTGGGGGTGATATCAGGTGCCTTTGAAGAGGGACGAAAGACACCAGAGGGACAGTCAAACTCATAGATTGAAAATAAACTGACAACGCCATGGCTAAAAATAAAAAGACAAACAGACAAATAATAGTACAGAAGACACAACATAGAAAACTAAAGACTAAGAGACACGAGGGTAGGCAGTTCCTGCTTCAAATGTGGCACCCGTCTTATTGTTCACGGAAGTATACATTTTGTGAAAAATCTAATTCAGTGATGTCAAAATCTGGGAAAAGAGGACAGGATACGACTATTGGAACATATTTATCATCATTGGTGAAACAGATATTCCATAATAGTCGACCAACTTGTGATGGAGTCCATAAAATGTTCCATTGGATAACTTTAACCTTACCACTTGGACCCCATGTTTCAATGCCTTCCTTGTAGGCAGCAACCCTATATCAAGGTTATCATGATGAGAAATGCAAGTTCTTGTAAATTGTATTGACTGGGATACATTTTCCCCATATGGAGACCATCTGGACACAATATAATTAAAAACTGAAGTGTAAGATAAATGTGCTGATGGAAAGTTATTACTTTGTAGAGATGTTTCAGTTGTGGATGAACTCAGTACATTGCTATTGTAGTACCACTGAAGTGCTTGATAGTATTGAAGAGAAGAATAAGTCTCTTCATCCTCCAGTCATTCTTATTGGTTCACATAAAGACAAAGTTGAGGCTTCTGAGGAAGTTAAGGTATATATTAGTATACATATTTGATATTTTAACTTGAAGTAGAGGAAACTTTATAATGAATATGGAATATGTATAAATTTCCACAAAATAAAAATTATAGGACATAATTAACCTATGCAGATGCTATTGCATTAATTTGTGATTTGCATTAAAACACAATCTCCTTTTTAGCTCTACTTTCTGAAGGAAATGTGAGCGTATGCCATCACTTGGCATCCGTCGTTGTCCGTCTGGTGTAAACTATTTCAAACATCTTCTACTCTGAAACTACTAAACCAATTCCCACCAAACTTAAGCTGAATGATCCTTAGGGTATCTAGAATAAAGTTTGTGTTTTATTTTCTGTTTCGTCAAAAAACATGGCTGCCATGGCTAAAAATAGAACATAGGGATAAAATACAGTTTTTGGCTTGTATCTCAAAAACTAAAGCATTTAGAGCAAATCTGACATGGGGGTAAAAGTGTTCATTAGGTGAAGTTCTATCAGCCCTAAAATTTTCAGATGAATCTAATAACCCATTGTTGGGTTGCTGCCACTAAATTGGTAATTAAGTCTTCCAAACAAAGTTTGGGAAGACTTATTGGTTTTGCTCAGTTCTTATTAAGTCTCCCAAACGAAGTTTGGGAAGACTTATTGTTTTTGCTCAGTTCTTATTATTATTCTTCTTCTTCTTCTTCTTCCGCCGCTTTTAAATTTGAACTTGTCCGCACCCGTTCTCCAAAACCGCTTGTCAGATTAACTTAGGGTTTCACAATATGTTAGACTAACATGTCTAGTGGTGCAATCAGGGTTTTGTTTGTGCAATGGGGTTTATAAAGGGGTACTTTGAGGGGCAAAAAGAAAAGAGGGTTTTACTATAGAACCCTATGGGATTTTATTTTTTTAAATTTTCAAATGATTATAAATTGAAAACCGTTTGTGATAGACACAATCTTTTTAATTGAAAATGTTCTAAATGATAAAGCCCATTAAATGAAATACAGGGTAAGTCCCCAGGGGTCACCCCACCCCCTGCCATTTAAGAAAGTTCTAATACCTTTTAAGTGGTCAAGATCCCCACCCCTAAACCATATATATTTTGGTTTGTTATGCTAAGATGGTTTGAATGATATACAGAGTTAGTCCCCAGGGGTCATCCCGACCCCCTGCCATTTGAGAAAGTTCTAATATCTTGTAAATGGTCGAGATCCCCACCCCTAAACCATATATATTCTGGTTTGTCATGATAAAGCACATCAAATGAAAAACACTGTTAGTCCCCAGGGGGCACCCCCACCCCCTGCCATTTAAGAAAGTTCTAATATCTTGTAAGTGTTCAGGATCCCCACGCCGAAACCATATATATTCTGGTTTGTCATGCTAAGATGGTTTGAATGATATACAGGGTTAGTCCCCAGGGGTCATTCCGACCCCCTGCCATTTGAGAAAATTCTAATATCTTGTAAATGGTCGAGATCCCCACCCCTAAACCATATATATTCTGGTTTGTCATGATAAAGCACATCAAATGAAATACAGGGTTTGTCCCCAGGGGTCACCCCCACCCCCTACCATTTAAGAAAGTTCTAATATCTTGTAAGTGGTCAAGATCCCCACCCCTAAGCCATATTTATTCTGGTTTGTCATGCTAAGATGGTTTGAATGATATACAGGGTTAGTCCCCAGGGCTCATCCCGACCCCCTGCCATTTGAGAAAGTTCTAATATCTTGTAAATGGTCGAGATCCCCACCCCTAAACCATATATATTCTGGTTTGTCATGATAAAGCACATCAAATGAAATAAAGGGGTTAGTCCCCAGGGGGCACCCCCACCCCTGCCATTTATGAAAGTTCTAATATCTTCTAAGTGGTCAGGATCCCCACCCCGAAACCCTATATATTCTGGTTTGTCATGCTAAGATGGTTTGAATGATATACAGGGTTAGTCCCCAGGGGTCATCCCGACCCCCTGCCATTTGAGAAAGTTCTAATATCTTGTAAATGGTCGAGATCCCCACCCCTAAACCATATATATTCTGGTTTGTCATGATAAAGCACATCAAATGAAATACAGGGTTTGTCCCCAGGGGTCACCCCCACCCCCTGCCATTTATGAAAGTTCTAATATCTTGTAAGTGGTCAAGATCCCCACCCCTAAACCATACATATTCTGGTTTGTCATGCTACAATGGTTTGAATGATATACAGGGTTAGTCCTAAGGGGTCATCCCGACCCCCTGCCATTTGAGAAAATTCTAATATCTTGTAAATGGTCGAGATCCCCACCCGTAAACCATATATATTCTGGTTTGTCATGATAAAGCACATCAAATGAAATACAGGGTTTGTCCCCAGGGGTCAACCCCACCCCCTGCCATTTAAGAAAGTTCTGATATCTTGTAAGTGGTCAAGATCCCCACCCCTAAACCATATATATTCTGGTTTGTCATGCTAAGATGGTTTGAATGATATACAGGGTTAGTCCCCAGGGGTCATTCCGACCCCCTGCCATTTGAGAAAATTCTAATATCTTGTAAATGGTCGAGATCCCCACCCCTAAACCATATATATTCTGGTTTGTCATGATAAAGCATATCAAATGAAATACAGGGTTAGTCCCAGGGGTCACCCCAACACCCTGCCATTTAAGAAAGTTCTAATATCTTCTAAGTGGTCAAGATCCCCACCCATAAACCCTATATATTCTGGTTTGTCATGCGAAGATGGTTTGAATGATATACAGGGTTAGTCCCCAGGGGTCATCCCGACCCCCTGCCATTTGAGAAAGTTCTAATATCTTGTAAATGGTTTAGATCCCCACCCCTAAACCATATATATTCCTATTTGTCATTTCTCGAATATTTGAATGACGTATACGGTCAGTCCCCAGGGGTTCCCCCCACCCCCAATGTTCTAATATCTTGTAAATGGTTGAGATCCACACCCCTTAACCATATATATTCCTGTTCGTCATGTAATGAACATTTGAATGACGTATAGGGCCAGTCCCCAGGGGTTCCTCCCCACCCCCAATGTTCTAGTATCTTGTAAATGGTCGAGATCCCGACCCCTAAACCATATATATTCTGGTTTGTCATGCCAAGATGATTTGAATGATATACAGGGTTAGTCCCCAGGGGTCATTCCGACCCCCTGCCATTTGAGAAAATTCTAATATCTTGTAAAAGGTCGAGATCCCCACCCCTAAACCATATATATTCTGGTTTGTCATGATAAAGCACATCAAATGAAATACAGGGTTTGTCCCCAGGGGTCACACCCACCCCCTACCATTTAAGAAAGTTCTAATATCTTGTAAGTGGTCAAGATCCCCACCCCTAAGCCATATATATTCTGGTTTGTCATGCTAAGATGGTTTGAATGATATACAGGGTTAGTCCCCAGGGCTCATCCCGACCCCCTGCCATTTGAGAAAGTTCTGATATCTTGTAAATGGTCGAGATCCCCACCCCTAAACCATATATATTCTGGTTTGTCATGATAAAGCACATCAAATGAAATAAAGGGGTTAGTCCCCAGGGGGCACCCCCACCCCCTGCCATTTATGAAAGTTCTAATATCTTCTAAGTGGTCAGGATCCCCACCCCGAAACCCTATATATTCTGGTTTGTCATGCTAAGATGGTTTGAATGCTATACAGGGTTAGTCCCCAGGGGTCATCCCGACCCCCTGCCATTTGAGAAAATTCTAATATCTTGTAAATGGTCGAGATCCCCACCCCTAAACCATATATATTCTGGTTTGTCATGATAAAGCACATCAAATGAAATACAGGGTTTGTCCCCAGGGGTCACCCCCACCCCCTGCCATTTAAGAAAGTTCTAATATCTTGTAAGTGGTCAAGATCCCCACCCTTAAACCATACATATTCTGGTTTGTCATGCTACAATGGTTTGAATGATATACAGGGTTAGTCCTAAGGGGTCATCCCGACCCCCTGCCATTTGAGAAAATTCTAATATCTTGTAAATGGTCGAGATCCCCACCCCTAAACCATATATATTCTGGTTTGTCATGATAAAGCACATCAAATGAAATACAGGGTTTGTCCCCAGGGGTCAACCCCACCCCCTGCCATTTAAGAAAGTTCTGATATCTTGTAAGTGGTCAAGATCCCCACCCCTAAACCATATATATTCTGGTTTGTCATGCTAAGATGGTTTGAATGATATACAGGGTTAGTCCCGAGGGGTCATTCCGACCCCCTGCCATTTGAGAAAATTCTTATATCTTGTAAATGGTCGAGATCCCCACCCCTAAACCATATATATTCTGGTTTGTCATGATAAAGCATATCAAATGAAATACAGGGTTAGTCCCCAGGGGTCACCCCAACACCCTGCCATTTAAGAAAGTTCTAATATCTTCTAAGTGGTCAAGATCCCCACCCATAAACCCTATATATTCTGGTTTGTCATGCGAAGATGGTTTGAATGATATACAGGGTTAGTCCCCAGGGGTCATCCCGACCCCCTGCCATTTGAGAAAGTTCTAATATCTTGTAAATGGTTTAGATCCCCACCCCTAAACCATATATATTCCTATTTGTCATTTCTCGAATATTTGAATGACGTATACGGTCAGTCCCCAGGGGTTCCCCCCACCCCCAATGTTCTAATATCTTGTAAATGGTTGAGATCCACACCCCTAAACCATATATATTCCTGTTCGTCATGTAATGAACATTTGAATGACGTATAGGGCCAGTCCCCAGGGGTTCCTCCCCACCCCCAATGTTCTAGTATCTTGTAAATGGTCGAGATCCCCACCCCTAAACCATATATATTCTGGTTTGTCATGCCAAGATGATTTGAATGATATACAAGGTTAGTCCCCAGGCATCACTAATGCATATAACTTTACTGGACCAAACCAATTTTCACTGGACATTGCCCAATGTCAGGCGACCCTGGGAATTACGAATTATGGGAGCTTCGTTTGGGAGACTTCGTAACAGCATCCTGTTACAATCATTTCTTGTTATTATTATTATTATTA